TTTGAAGTCTATGACCAATACATCTCTATACCATAAAATATGAAACAGGAGAGCTATTTGGAACTGATTACATGAAGAAACATGGATGCAAAGTCAGACTAGCTTCAACTAGTTTTGAAGTCTATGACCAATACATCTCTATACCATAAAATATGAAACAGGAGAGCTATTTGGAACTGATTACATGAAGAAACATGGATGCAAAGTCAGACTAGCTTCAACTAGTTTTGAAGTCTATGACCAATACATCTCTATACCATAAAATATGAAACAGGAGAGCTATTTGGAACTGATTACACGAAGAAACGTGGATGCAAAGTCAGACTAGCTTCAACTAGTTTTGAAGTGTATGACCAATAAATCTCTATACCATAAAATATGAAACAGGAGAGCTATTTGTAACTGACTTCATGCAGAAACAAGAATGCGAGGTCAAACTAGCTTTAAAGAGCTTCACAATCTATGTCCAAGAAATCTCTATGCACTACATAACAATTACTACACAGATGCTAGATTTCCAGTGGCAAGAGAGAGGGTGATCATTGTACCATCAAATAGTGAAATATTCATATGAGGATTTATTAGGTATAAGCTTACATCTAATGACTGGAGCAGGTCCTGGGGGATTAATGGTTTAAAGAGCTCTGGTGAACCTGAAGAATAAAGATGTCTTACATGACTTTACACAGGAAAGGCTCAAATCAGCTTGTGATAAAATGGAAAGTTACTTTGATATTAATTGTGATAAGACTGGATTACACTGACGTGACACCGTATGGCAGAACAATTCTTGTCACAATAAAGAATGAACTCCAAAGATAACTAGATATTAGGAAGGATGTGGTTTACAGAATTCAGAAGGACAGGGAGTCGAAGTCAAAGGTCATTCACCATAATTGGCTTTGGAAGTACGCCGGCAAAAAAGGTGTGAGCTGCGAAAATTTAGAGATGAAGTTGTGAGCGGAAAGTCAATCTACTGAAAAGCTCAAGATTCACTTCTGCAGAATCACCAAGACTCTTGTAGTCGAGTGCAGTACGCTGCAGATGGAAGTGTTATTTTTAGAGATGTCTTAAAGGACCTAATCGGCATGTTTATTTACAATACATCGTTGTTATTTACTCGGTTAAACAAGTACATATTTTGAAGCATCACGATTTATAATTAAAGTCTGTTAAAATAGGCTTACAGGTTTCATGATGTAATAATGTTGTATTTAATTCACGAATAATTCTATGAATCAAAACAAATATTAATTTTTTAAAGTATATATATATATACACACACACCCATAAATAATAAAGTGCAGTTTGTGAAGACTTATATAAAACTAGAACTGAATAAGCTGACGTTATCGAATAGATAAGCCCCCCAGCAGGGGCGTTGAAAGCCAGCCTAGACCTCGGGGTCAGTAATATCATCGGGTCCCCCTTTCATTCTATTTATTAACCTTTGCTGATTCTTCATAAAAGAAATTTAGGTGACAAATTTCTTCACGAATTCATGAAAACGCAGTGGCCATTTTAGCTCATTAAGTAGTATGCATTTTTAGTGAGCTTTGGAATATCCCATTGTCGGGCCCCTCAACAGACCCCGAGCCCGGGACAGCTGCCCCCCTCTCGTCAGCCCTTCACCTACAGTGGCACAGCAGTATGTCCGCAGACTTACAACTCTAGAAACCGGGTTTCGATACCCGTGGTGGGCAGAGCACAGATAGCCCATTGTGTAGCTTTGTACTTAACTACAAACAAACAAACAAACTGAATACATAAAATATCTTTGTGTACATAAATGTATATATTTAGGCTTGTGTGCATTGGATAAATCGCAATAACCTCATTGCATTACACACACAATCGAATAACTTTTTTTGGTCATCTTTATCCATTACAAGCAATTTCCTATCACGCATAGTCTCAATTAATGGTTATCAGACCCATTTGCGGTAACTTTTTAGTTCCTATCTATCACATTTTATCAGATCATAGTATATTTGTTTGCATGCCTTCTAAAAAGAGAAGCGAATAGTTTTTGAAATATACTTCTTC